TCCACCCCCCCTCCCCCCAGGGAAAGACGTAACTCTTACTCTTGACCTTTTATTCTTCGGTCAACTCTCAATGTCAAATCACATCACTTGGAAAGGAACGGTAATAATAACAGGATTTTTCAAGTTGTTACAGTTACCCACTACTAGTATTTTCATAGGCAATAAATTAAATTTAAAAAGTGATCACGTGTGTATCATTAATTGTTATAAAGTGCGCAACCAGGTGGACTAATGTTGCAAGCCGCGTGGCAGATAACACCGCATCCCAAGCGTGCGCCTGCATTCCCTGTTATCAAGCTCTCTTTCCTCGCAGGGCCAGTGCCGCGTCCCAGATCATCTCTCTTTTGATGAATCTATAAAATAATAAAAACCTTTTAGCCCAAAGGACACTTAAACCCAGTAGTTATTTTTGTTTCTGAAGTGAGATAGAATGGTTTTGGCACCCGAAGAGTAAGCAGCGAGTGATTGAGGGCTCCCTTACCACAGCTCCCTGCGTGGTTCGCGTCTCTCGCAATCACCCTCCCTAAGCCCAAGGCAGGAACATCTAACTGTACTTGTTTTGATCTTACCACAAATGCTCTTCCAATGACAGAAAAAGGTCCAAAAAGGGAGACCTTCTCATCCATAAACTGTTTACTTATTCGACCGTTTACGTCTGAAAATAGATTTCCCAAATCACCGATGTGCCTGAAGAGAAACAAAGAATGGTTACCAGTGTATTCTCCTTTATTCAATAGCCAGGATTAACTCATCCTTATAAGTCATTCCCTGCGTTTGTTTTCTAATAAAGTAACTTGTGTTCTCCTCTCCGCAGGGGCCTCTTTTATGCTGTAGGGTGGCTGGGTAGAAAGAAAAGGGATTGGGGTTACCAAGCGGGAGCCTATGCGGAGGAGAGAGGCAAAAATGCGTACATAAAATAGTTTCTTTAAAAAGAGCGTTATTGATCATGATGTGAGATCAGAGAACCCTCGCTTGTGCGGTAGCATTTTTGAAGGTCGTTCCTAAGCGCTCTTGTCACCTATTCACTTTACAGCTTTTAATACACACTGAGCAAGACCGAAATACGACAGTTGGGGAAAAGGTCACCAAAAAAGATGATTTCTTCTATGACACAACTTAATAAACAGTACTCTGGCTAATCGACAACTCGAACGGGGATGTTTTTTTTATTTTTATGTCGCGCGCGCATTGCACGATGATCGCACAGCGAGGCAAAAACCCGAGTTGCCACTGTTTCAATGCCAATGCATATCTCTTGGGTTTCCGCAGTTCACGTCATCCAGTGTGACGTCAGGGTGCATTTTAGGGTTACCAGGCAACACTTAAATTCAAGTACGAATGATGGGAAATGCTGTGGTGCACTATCATGTTTTATTCATGAAATGCTCTCGTCTTTGTTCATCATCTCTCAACCATTGGGAATCGCGACTATTTTTTCAGGCAACGCCTCACACAAGAAAGTTCTAACGTTCGAAATCCAGCGCGAACAGCGAAGACGAGCCCAAGAAACCTCGGAGCAGCGAGAACATCGCTTAGCCCAGCAAAGACAGCGTCGTCAGCAAGAAACTGAGGGACAGAGAAAGGCAAGGTAGGCGTAGATTAAATTTGAATAATCTAAATAAATGTAGGGCCATTATGTATCCTAACCCCTCAACGACGCGAGCATCGCTTGCAACGACGTGAAACTGCCCAGGCGCACCGATTGAATAATGAAACTGAGGAGGAACGAAACCTGCGGTTACAGAGGCTTCGACTTAATTTCGATGGATGTAATTGTAGATCTCCCAACAGTAGAGGATCTGTACAGCCCCCGAAATGATCCCGACCCCGAAATGATCCCCAACCTTTAAATGATCCCCAAATCGACCCCGAAATGATCCCCATTTCTCTTCACGTCGACCCCAAAATGACCCCCATTTAACTTTTCGGAATGGAATGATATCCTAGAACTATGGATCGTGCAAACTGCACAACATAATTTAAACTTCACTATAATAATCCTCACTTGCCCACATGACATTAATTTGGGATTACACTTTGAACTGGATTAAACGAAAATATTATTATCAAAAAATACACAAAGTCTAGTATATTTTTAGGAACACCATGAACTGCAACTGATAATATCAAGAAACATAACATTTTTTTAAATTATTACTTAGGTGATTATGTTAAATTCTAAAAATGATGTTAAAACTACATGCCTTGGATATTGAGTTTTAAAAATGGTGTTTTAACACTTTTTAAAATCTTAAAATGATCTTGAAGATGCAAAAGTATACATAAAGGCGATTAGATGACAAAAGCGCTAAAAAATCACCAACTGTAGCGAAATGCTTAAAAAAAAACACTGCAAATACCGAGTACGATCAGTCTTGTTCAACGTCGGATCCAGAAAGATCGTGATCAGTCAAAATAAATCAAACTGAAAACGTTACAGTCAAGAAGACTTTAGCAGGTTTCAGTCTAAGTCTTGGGTTTGTTTGTAAGTGCTTCAGTGCGAAGAATGTCGGAAGCTCGTGGTATTTGGATCTTGAGAAAGGTTTTGTCGCAGCCGCGATTACACTTTTCATTCTACAGGTGACACCCACCACATCAAATCTCATATCACTTGTGAAACTTTTAATGTTATCTATTTGATTCAATGTCGCCTGTGTAATCTACAATATATTGGAGAAACTAAACGTCGCCTCAAAGACCGTTTTAATGAACGTAGACGACCTATACTCAACCCTACTGGTAATTACATCCATAATGCAATTTCAGAACACCTTCTGACCAGTAATCATTCCGACAATCATATGCTTTTGATTCCTATTGAAAAACTTAAAAATGGGCGTGATTCTTTCAGGAAAGCACGTGAAGCCCACCTTATCCATAAAGCTAAGACAATTAAACCTCTGGGCATCAATAAACGTGATGAACTGTAACTATATATAGTATATCTTTTATTTTTATGTTATCTCGTCTTTTAAAGTAGCCACCATACCACGTCATATTATGTAATTTCCGGTCATAATTTTACTTCATATATATTTCTGTGAATTCGTGATATCTCAATAAACCTGATGAAGACTGGTTTTGGCCAGTCGAACTATCGCCACTAAACTCTATTTCACTCTGTTTGATCAGTCGCTGCTAAAGTCTTCTTGACTCAGACTCGTACCCAGTCACTATTTAAGTGTTTTTTGGGATGATAGAAGATTGGGGATTAGGTTGAGGCGCGCGAGGGGTCTCGTGGGAAGGGAAGAAGGAAAAATACTATTCTTGACTGTAACGTTTTCAATTTGTAGCGAAATGTTAAACGCGATTTAAGAACGTAAACGCTGCAACAGATTTGTAATAATTCCGAGACGAAATACAAGTTCCATTCCAAGAATTAATTGGGGATCATTTCGGGGTCGGTATTATTTCGGGGTCGATTTGGGGATCATTTCAGGGTCGGGGATCATTTCGGGGTCGGTATCATTTCGGGGTCGATTTGGGGATCATTTCGGGGGCTGTACAGTATCCACAATCAAATGAACATCAAGACACAGTACAAGATGCAGAAGTACATAGGGTCAACAGCGTGAACAGGATGCAATACGGGCGTTCCATCAATTGAGGGGGATTCTATAAATGAATTTTGAACGCAGGGTTTTGCTCAATAGCTTTTCCAATACTATTTCGTAATGATATAGACCCTACAAAGAGTACACAATTTCGGGAAGTTTCCTTAACAGATGGCTTTGAACACTTAATCAAGTATGCAGACATATCACCTAATGGAACCTTTACATGGCGATTTGCCTCACATCCACGATTTCCAAATTGGGCCCTAAAAATGAAACAACGCCATCAGTTGTTGTGGCAAGCTCGCATTTCTCTCACTTAAAACCCAGACGATGCCAACTTAACAACTGAGGAATTCGAGAAATGGTGGGCCAAATGTCAGCCAATCAGCTTATGAAACGTGTCCAGCGTTACGTTGCTAAAATACAAGGCACAAAGCAGTACTGGTATCAGCTTTACCAGGAACTTAAGGCGCTAATAACACAGAGAGGGGTTGCCACTTTGCCTTTAATTATTGGCCAGATTTACACTGACTTCTTCAAGAGCCAAACAATGCAGTTCCTTCTGTTCGAATTAGGGTTGTCATTAATCATCTTCACATTACAGATGCTTACTTTGTTTCAATATTGGCTGAATTTTGTACTCATTGGCTTGATCATTTAATAAATGCAGAATGTAAATGGATTCGATTTGAGTGGCAAGCACATGGCAGTATTCATGCGCATGGTTGTGCAAAGCTATTCAATAACCCGGGCGTTTACAGCCTTGTTAAGACAGCAGCCTAAGGCTGGAAGCTAGAGCAGATGTTACGACTCCACGAACATCCAAGTTACCACCAGATGGCTAACAAAGTCCAACCCCAGATACTAGTAGGTCATCAAGCACGATCGAGGCACCGTAATTGCGTATGCTGATTGGCTGGTGACAACTATGTATGATGCACTTTCACAGGAGAACTGGGCCGTTCCCTCACCAAACCCCTCAGCAATATCACTTGAAAATGTTGATAATGCGAAGCCTTTGTTAATCCAGTCGAGCGTCATACAAAGTGTAGCACAGCCTACTGTATTAGAATTAAACCTGCGCAGCAGCCAACATGCCACTTTAATTTTCCAAAAGATTGTCACAATGAAACTTCAATCGACTTTGAACTCATGAAAACAGCTAGAAGATCGTGAATTAACTGTAGATGAAATCGCCCATGCTAAAGCAACACTTACCACAAAGCGAAATGATCAAAGAACCAACTCCCAAAACCGTGTTATGCTACAACACTGGAGAGCAAATGTACATCTTCAAGCCATTGTTGACACTGACCAATGTATCCGGTACATGGCGAAGTATGCAACAAAAGCTGAACCTCGATAACAGTCAGCATCTGAAATTCTCAGTGTGTGTGAACAGGCTTAATGATACAAACGTGGCTTCATCTGCACTAAATAGAGATATTATTCAATTTGCTGGAGAACGTGACATGGGATCTCAAGAAACTGCACATCTGCTTCTTGAAAAAAACCGTTGTATTCTTGCTCTTACTCCGTTCTTGGTGTCTCATTGGATGGAAGTCGAAGGGTTCGTACCGGAGAGGAAGATGATGAAAACCAGGGAGATAAAGCATTAGATCCATCAGTAATTGACCGCTATGCTACTCGAGCTAACTGGTAAGCAAATAAACATCAAACTCGTACCCTTAATCTTGTAAAATTTTCTTCTGCTTACTATGTCAGTAAGGGGGAGCTCAAACACCGTAAACAGGAAGTTATTATTACGACCTTTCCTAATTTCTCACCAAATCCTTTAGGGAAGAATTATGGTAATTACTGCAAGCATGCTCCAATTAAATATAAGCCTTGTCTGGATCCGAGAAGTCCATATCGTATGGAACGGAGTTGACGATTGCGATGGAAATCACATTCAGTGCTACCATGCATTTCTTGCCTCTGAAAATGCCTCTCGGACGATAATGAAATGCCACATTGTGAACAAGAACCTGAGGAGTGGATACTGCTGTGTCCCTCCAATCAACACTACGATGACACGGTCTCACAAGGAAGCCAATCTCACGAAAACTTGCAGTTTGACTGGACAGAAACTGCCACAGCAATGCCGCCTGCTCTGCTACGGGAATCTGCTAACTGGATTACAAAACGCCGAAGCGAGGCTCTAGAGGACCCAAGTGTTCTAAACAGACCACAGCAACAACCTGTTGATCCAGCGAAACTGAATAGACAACAGATGCTTGCTTACAACATCCTTGCTACTCGTCACTACTAAATAGTGCAACCCCCTGGAACCACTGCATATGATCATTACAGGGACAGCAGGATCGGGTAAGTCATATCTGATTAGTGCAATAAAGGTCCTTCTTGGAGACACATGTATACTCACAGGCACCACTGGTTCAGGTAGGGTACAACATTGAGGGTTATACCTTACACTCGGCATTACTGCTGCCACTTCGTAATAATAATAAATATAATGACCTACACTAACAACATTACAACGTTGGTAACTTCGTTTTCTCTGCAAAGTGCTATCTTATTACCGATAAAATGTCAATGCTTGGATAGTGGACACTAGCTTGGGTCGATAAGCGTTGACGACCAGCAACAGGAAATCTTTATAAACCCCTTGGAGGGATTTCCACCTGGATCATTGGAGATTTTACACAGCTACTACTTGTTGGAGATGAGCCTATACATGCTTTCCTATCCCAGTCCAGTTCTTTACTCGCACAGCATGGACATTCAATTTATAGTCTTTTTGAAGCAGTTGTTACGCTATCGGAAAACATTCGACAGGCTGGAAACAATCCTGAGCCAGAAGATGGGATGAAGAGATGGTCACACCACTCGAGGTGACTGAATGACACTTTGTCAGAGGACACCATAGCACTACATGTAATTGTAATTTCCCCGGCTCAGGAAAATTGTACATATAACAGGGAAAATTTCACACACCTATGCATAAGCCAACCTTATCTGAACAAACTCACCCATTATGAGAATTAAGAAAGTGATCACCTTCAACACCTCTTACCTAGTATGTTAATTTCGTACAATTCACTCTTGCAAGAGAGTTTGTTTGCTACACGTACATCAATAACCGTGATGTACACTTACATACTTCATTTGCACTTTACACTGACACTCTGTTCTGATAAACGCCCCCATTTTATGGTCGTGAGTCAAGATCACTTTTATGATTCTCATGATGTGCATCGTCAATGACAATGCTACATGTAATCATTATTTCAGTAATAATGTTTCCACCTTACTTATTACAAACAATAGTTGTCAAGATAATTACCTACAAAAAGGATTACACAAACTGTCATTGTTGTAGTTGAATAATAAATAACAGCTTTCCTCCAATAACGAGCATTTACTATTTGTTTTCACTACAACGTTACTCCTGTCATTTGGCACATACTGCTGACACTCCTCACCATACCTATCGCAGACGGCAGGAGTTACCTGTATTTGTAACTGATAACTTTCACTGTGAGCACAAATAAATTAAATGCCAGTCTATATTACCTCCCAGTCATCCACTTACACCCAAAACAACATGATATTTTTATCTTTTTGAGAGTCAGAATAACTTGGCGTGAGTTTCCGGTCATAAAGGCGAGAAAATCATTTTGCATTGTTAACTCGCTAAACACAAGACGTACTCAACTTTGGCTAACCATCCTAAACGATTCTCACTGCAACAAGATGCCGGGAACTGGGTTTGAATTTGCTCCCACCACAAGGAGATGCAATATATCTTAGTTACCCTTGCTATTTATTCTATTTTATTCCAGCCTTTCTATTTAACATTTAACTGCTCACATTCTCCGAGCTTCGCGAGGTTCTGCAATACAAGTATTTCTAGTAGTGTTACCGTATTGCGTCAGTAGGTGCTCCATGGGTGTGGTGAAAAGGATTGTAATGACCTCCGGTGCTCTGACATCCTGGAAGATAATTATCATTTTGTTATTCTCACATCAATAGAGAGGAGACGTGTGACGTCACTTTACCATGGTGGCCAAATTTCTGGATCTCAACAATCTTTCTTGACAGAGACGGCCATTTGCATTGTCGAACGTTGAAAGAAAAGCTTGAGCTATCGTTTTGTTCCTGAGTGCAATCATGCACAGGAAAGTCATTGTTACAATTTTTCCGTATTATATTTATCTTTTGAATATCAAGATATAAAGCTATCATGATAGCTGCCAAAGTATTCATGGTTACATGGTAACCAAAAAAAGAAAAAGAAAACGACGCTAATTAAGCCTACCATCAGTGATTATGTCTCCAAACTCGTGGATATGGAAACCATGATTTGAGTTCGGTGGAAGCCCTGACATCTCTACGGCAAAAAAAGTTTTCTGACCATATATCTACGATAAATATAGAAGAATCACCGGCCGTTCTCGTAAGAAATAATTCAAAATTTTTACCTTCCTAAGGATTGGTTAATGCGGTACCAGCTGATATTAGGGGCATAGCCAGCCCACAGTTCTGTAGGCCCTGGCCTACAAATTTTTGGTTTGATCACTCTACCGCTTGTGCGTTGTTGGAGTGAGCTAAAAAGCTTAAGAGCTCAAAGTGTTGGTAAGGTCAGTGTGTACTAGTCATGCGTGCAATTTTAGGATATGTGGAAATGAAAGTCAGCCAGACCTACAACTAGTAGAAAAGCTGGTTACGTCCCTGGATATGACAATGGCCTGATGATTGAAGGACGTTTTATTGGAAAGAGAAGAAAAATGAGAGCATACGAAGCGGTTTCGTGTTTTGCAAAACCAGAAGAGAGCCTGTAAATTGGCGGACCTTACTTTTAGTCCATGAGCCAAGATCCAAAAGAATGGATTTTCGTAGCACCCATCTTAAAACCTTATAAAATTGGTATCAAGTTAAAAGGGAGATAGGGCAAGGTTTTTATGAGGGGAGTATGGGGATACATTTTGCTTTGTAAATACAAATGATATAAAAACTCTAGCAGAAATCACGAAATACTCATGCATATTTAAAAAAATACTTACAATTGATATTTTGTAACATTTCATACTTTCCATGATTTTGTGACCAGCCTTTGCTCCCACTGCTATGGAAACCGTACATAAATCCCATTCCACTATTTTGTTAATTGAAAATGCTTTTCTTTTATGTTTACAACCCAGTTATCACCCAAAAATCAGTTGTTTTTGTTTTTTCTCCCTTTAAAGCATTTATTTGTTTCTACCACAATGCATCCCCAGCCCTTGTTCCATTATGCGTTTACAGACATGTAACAACTTCACGACAGGGTCCGCCATCTTGGAAACTGGTGAATTAAAAGAAGGTAAGAAATTGCCTCTTTTTCGCAAAATGGCCATTAATTGTTAACGAAAAGAAGATCTTAAAGCGACTCTATTCAGATTGAAGAACTTTTTTCCATTTAACTTTCTATGCATGTATTAAAGGTCAAACTAAGTTTACACTCAAGAGGAACAAAAGAAAAAAGTACGTTCGAAATAAGTTACGCTGACTCTTGATAACTGCGTTTTATTCTGTTATTTAGCAATACATTTTCTCGACAACTTTGACTGGTATTGCACACTGTTGCAAAGAATTCAAGATATGCCAAACTTATTGAAAACTTCAGTATCTTACAACAAGAAATACAACAAGAGATACCTGAGGCCAGTGCCTATTTGCTCGTCTACACCCTCATCGTTGCCATCAACAAGGTCATCTCCACCTTTAAGGTCTGTTGCACTGTTCATGCACTCATCAGAACAAGTACAAGCTTTTATCGAAGGCAGGAAATTACCAACACATAGGCATCGCCTCGATTGGCAAGTAACGCAGCACCCACAGCAAACTAATTCCATCTTGGCCTGTGGAGCTGGCGACAGGTCTGTCCAAACGATCTCAAGGCGTCCTTCCTTCAGTCAAAATCCATGTTTTACCGGTTCTTGGTCAATTCTTAGCTGCAAGGCTTTCTTCCGGAGAAACGCTTGGTAGTTAGGCTCGTTTAAAGTGGTATCGGAGGGCAGCACTTATTGGTGAAACTGCACCAGCTTGCACTGATCATCGTTGTATAATCTGCAAACTACTTCTTCCAATTTGGTTATGCTCTGCTCTCTCAGGGGAAGACTCTCTCCAAGAACGCCCACACTTTCGCTCATAAACTGGCTTTCGCATCTGACCATTTCAAACGCCCTTTTCATGCCTTTACCTGCAAATGAGCTCAGAGCGTCACAGCCTGTTAGCGCGTACAAACTAGGGAGGACTAGGCATACCCTGGGACCCAGTTCCTCGCACAGTCGGGAAACGCTTATAAAGCGTTATCTTTTTCTTGCTGCACCTATCAAGGTCAGTTCTGCAGGAGTGGCTGACTGGTGGTGACATATCAACTCTTAAACATGCATGTGTGTTTGATGTTCATGTAAAGATGCGTGTGACTCATGAAGGAACATCCTTGTATCAGCTTCCTGTTGGCAGGTATACAGTTCCTTTTCTGCAGTTGTTGTCATAGGTCTATCTGTGACGACAAGCTTGATGCAGTGGTTGCCATGGGTAAAATATGCATTAAACGACTGTCGATTCTTTTAGCATATTCTTCCTTCAAACATTCGCTTTAAAGGCGCATTAGAAGACGCACTCTATCGCTCCCGCATGACGAGTACTTCTTTTCTTGGCGTAGACAGAATTGTTAGAAGGTAGCAATGGCGACGCCTAGTTGACCGGAATTGCTTCTTCCTTCCCCTTCTATGTTCTCAATCGAGATGTCTAGGTAATGATCACCACCGAAGTCAACACCTCTTGCTTCTCCTGCTTGCATTAGTATTCTCTTGAAAATCATTTCTGACAATTTTATGAATCTCTCTGATGTCTTCCTCACCGTTTGAAGCATGTCCATCGGGTCGATGATGACTGCTATGATTTGGGCTAGCAAGCGCTGCAGACCCTCTACCCCATCCTCTCGAAGTTTAGGTAGAGCCGCTTTGCTGGCTTTCACAAGCGCGCAATCAAACAGCCCCAGCGACTTTTGAAGCGGGCCTAGCTCGTGGGCCAGCGACTGACTAGATCCACTTGTCTGCTTTGGCCAAGAACGAGAAATCTAGCAAACAGATTTCTGTCTGTTCTTATAATGGCAGCCCTTCCTTCCTTTAATATGCGATTGTATGGAAGCGGCCCTCTAGCATCGGTGAGACAGAACCTGATCCAACAATTCCACTTTCCGTAACGAGGACACCAAGACCTACATCTTCAAAGCGCTTACCGATAGCCACCAGGAAAGACCTGAGAAAATTATGTGAAAAGAGCCCATCCTAACAACGAGGCACTGGAACGTTTCGTCTTTTTGCCAGATGACTTCAAGAGCTTTAGTGTACTTTGCTTGTTCTAAGGCAATAATTTCATTTTCCTGGCCAAGCTGATCAGCACTTTGCAAGGATTTCTCACGAAGAAGAATGTACACTGTAGGGATCGATCTCAGTAGGGCTTGCGTCGATAACTTGGCAACAGCCTATGGAACTTTCACAAAGAACACCTTGCTACAGTTTAATGTTGAGACCTCTTCATGTTGGGATCACCCGGCTGTGACCACTCCCCGATGTGAAAAGATTTTCTTCAATGGGTTGCCGGCACAACATTCATCCGAAGTCGATTGATCTCGCATATGCACCAGTATCGGGATTAGTCGCGATACCATCGTGCACACCAATGTGAAATGGACTGGGGCTAGCCTTAACCACAAGGTCCTCGGCAACTTTATGGCAACTTTTACCATTTGGAGTAATTTTCTGGTAACTTTTGAAACTGACAGTAAGTTTTGATTTTTGGGGGCAACTTGATTAAGTGTCAAGTAACTTATGGCAATTACGACGTCTCCAGTAGTAACGTGGGAATTGTAGACTGTCATAGGGGTCGATCCAGAGGTTGATGTTAAGAGATTCTGTTCCCAAAAGACTTACTCAAACGGTTCTTCAACTATGAGGACCTGTAACTGGGTGCATTCACTCCTTCTTGTGATAGCCTACGAAGGGCCTAATATTGCCCTGTTGTAGCTTTGCTAGCTACGTCCTCGACTTCACAATTTTGCTCTTCCAACTTTGCAAGTGCCCCTGGTCGTGAACGCAACATGATTTGTGATAATTTTAATTGCCATTAACCGGCCTTGTATTGGTAATAAAAGGCGTCTGTCATCTCGAATCTCGGTGGCCTCATATAACGTTCATCTTTTATCTGTATTCATTTTCCTTTTATAGCCCCCGTTGAAGGTTTGTACTGTAAACCGAAATATCGGCCAAATATAATTCACTACTTTGTTTTTGTTTTCTTTATTTTTTCTATCACTCTTCCAGCCGTAAGGATCAGTTTACTGTTTTAAGAGCAACTCCATGCAAATATCGACCAAAGTGCGGCAAGGCTCAAAAAATAAAAATCGCTCTTCTTTGGCATACTGATAGACTTTAGTAAGTGTACAAACGCCATGTAGTTTTTTCTTCGAAAGATCTGTTCGTTTCCGAGAAAAACAAGAAAACCATTTCAAGGCTAATTTCACGATTCTATGACAAGTTTTCGGTCGCATCGGTAGCATTTTAGTATGATTTACAGTGCTACTTGCAGATTTGCTATTGCAGTTATAAGGGTACCAGATTCAGAATAGGGTACTGTAGTTGCCTAGTTAGAGAAGAACGCTTTTTCTTGTTTTTGAAGGGTCACATTGCTGGCTCCAAATCTATTAAAATTGACATAATCTTCGCGTTTTTCATTTATAAGATCAATTTTGCTTGTTACAGGAACACTTGTAAATGGCGTGAGATTAACATGCACATTCTCCATACTCATTCCTTTACTGTTCATCTGGCGCTAACGAGGAGAATTTGACCAGAAATCACAATGTTTTTCGCTGCTGAGCAGTTTCCTCTTTTTTCAGCAGTTTATGATTGATACTGTTCAGTGGTAGGATATATAGCGAGAATGTAAATTGATGTTGATCACTGTTCACCGTACAAAAAGTGTTTCTTGTGATCACCGACTGAAAGCAAACGCACCGACGATTTCAAATATTTCAATATTATACAAAACTTCAGCTAAAATCAAAATTGCCCGTCGGAAAAAACGTCAAAGCGCTAAGTGCTTTTTTAAATGTAAAAGCGGTCAGAAAGATACAAGAATCGTGATTAAAAGGAAGCTTTTGCAAAGCCGAGAAGGTTACAGTTTCCATTATGTTTGGTTAACTTTGGTTTGTTTTGGTTCTTGGACCTGTGGGACCTCAGGGACCTCTGGGCCGAAGGTTCATGATGTCATTATTTTCAACAGCCAATCAGGGGCAAGAATTTGATTTGCATATGAATAACATACAAAAAAACCATTGAATTTGTAACCGAGCCGGGATAGCGCAATTAGCATAAGCATTGAATCGGTAATGAATTGGCAAACAAAGAGGTGACGGGTTCGAATCCCGCCTGATTAGCATGAAAAAGGAAAAAAAAGAAAAAAATCGCGGCTGGGATCGGGGAGGGCTTGGGGCGAGGAGAGGGAAGAAAAAAGGCCTTGGGAAGGGTACGGGAAGCGGGAGTTGGTACACCGGCCGGGGGGGGGGCCGGGGAGAGGGCGGGGAGAGGGGGGCAGGCGGGAGGGGGGTAAGTAGATAGCTAGAGGGGTAGGTAGATAGATAGATAGATAGATAGATAAATAGATAGATAGGTAGAGGGGGGTAGGTAGATAGGTAGATAGGTAGAGGGCGGAGGGATGGGAGGGGGAAGGGAAGGGAAGGGAAGAGAAGGGAGGGGGGAAGGGAAGGGAGGGGGAAAGGGAGGGGCGGTCTAGCCTGCGAGCAGGGTCTCTTGCTGCCGGGATTGGGGGGAGGGTTGGGTGGGGTGGGGCAGTGAGAGACCTTGCTCGCCGACTAGACCCGGGGAGGGCTTTGCTGCTCAGCACAGTTTTTTTTCTTCTTACTTTTATAAAATTCTTGATTCAAAATAAGGACATTTGGAAAAGAATGCATTCACGTAAAAAAAAAAAGGGAAAAAAGGACGTGTGCGAAGAAACAAGCGAAATTTATGATTAGACATTTGTCATTACTCAGGATCAACTTCTCCACACTTTGAGACCCACTGGACGCTTTTTCCCACATTCAACTTCGCGAGTTAGTCTACTTATAGTACGTTCCTTTTCTTTAATGCAGTGGATAAACAGACCATGAAGTTGCAAACTGCTCTTCGTCTGAAGTTGGAGAATTTTCGTTATTGGTCATGGACCTTGGGGACATTTAACAGCCTGATTTTAAGAGTGGATTGGAAATAGCTTGAATTAACCTTGCCTGCGAAAGAAACACGACCTGATGGAATTACTAATCGTCAATAGGCCGGGCAAACAATGTTTGATTGGTTCATCTTGTCAAGTGACTTTTGGTTCAAGTTGGAAACCGATGGAGATCTCCTGAAAATGTCCCTGTGTTTTTATGTCTCAAGTAAGAGGATGTAAGTATATTTCATTGTGGAAAAAAAGTCTTTCAGCTGCCTTAGGACACGCAGGATATCACCTTGTTTTGATCTTTCAGGCTGATTTCACAATTCTATCACAAGTTTTCGGTCGCATCGGTAGCATTTTAGTATGATTTACAGTGCTACTTGCAGATTTGCTGTTGCAGTTATAAGGGTACCAGATTCAGACTAGGGTACTGTAGTTGCCTAGTTAGAGAAGAACGCTTTTTCTTGTTTTTGAAGGGTCACATTGCTGGCTCCAAATCTATTAAAATTGACATAATCTTCGCGTTTTTCATTTATAAGATCAATTTTGCTTGTTACAGGAAAACTTGTAAATGGCGTGAGATTAACATGCACATTCTCCATACTCATTCCTTTACCGTTCATCTGGCGCTAACGAGGAGAATTTGACTAGAAATCACAATGTTTTTCGCTGCCTTTGATCACTGTTCACCGTACAAAAAGTGTTTCTTGTGATCACCGACTGAAAGCAAACGCACCGACGGACATTTCAAGTATTTCAATATTATACAAAACTTCAGCTAAAATCAAAATTGCCCGTCGGAAAAAACGTCAAAGCGCAAAGTGCTTTTTTAAATGTAAAAGCGGTCAGAAAGATACAAGAATCGTGATTAAAAGGAAGCTTTTGCAAAGCCGAGAAGGTTACAGTTTCCATTATGTTTGGTTAACTTTGGTTTGTTTTGGTTCTTGGACCTGTGGGACCTCAGGGACCTCTGGGCCGAAGGTTCATGATGTCATTATTTTCAACAGCCAATCAGGGGCAAGAATTTGATTTGCATATGAATAACATACAAAAAAACCATTGAATTTGTAACCGAGCCGGGATAGCGCAATTAGCATAAGAATTGAATCGGTAATGAATTGGCAAACAAAGAGGTGACGGGTTCGAATCCCGCCTGATTAGCATGAAAAAGGAAAAAAAAGAAAAAAATCGCGGCTTGGATCTGGGAGGGCTTGGGGCGAGGAGAGGGAAGCAAAAAGGCCTTGGGAAGGGTACGGGAAGCGGGAGTTGGTACACCGGCCCGGGGGCGGGCCGGGGAGAGGGCAGGGAGAGGGGGGCAGGCGGGAGGGGGGTAAGTAGATAGCTAGAGGGGTAGGTAGATAGATAGATAGATAGATAGATAAATAGATAGATAGGTAGAGGGGGGTAGGTAGATAGGTAGAGGGGTAGGTAGATAGATAGATAGATAAGTAGATAGATAGGTAGAGGGGGGTATGTAGATAGGTAGATAGGTAGAGGGCGGAGGGATGGGAGGGGGAAGGGAAGGGAAGGGAAGGGAAGGGAGGGGGAAAGGGAGGGGCGGTCTAGCCTGCGAGCAAGGTCTCTTGCTGCCGGGATTGGGGGGAGGGTTGGGTGGGGTGGGGCAGTGAGAGACCTTGCTCGCAGGCTAGACCCGGGGAGGGTTTTGCTGCTCAGCACAGTTTTTTTTCTTTTTACTTTTATAAAATTCTTGACTCAAAATAAGGACATTTGGAAAAAAATGCATTCACGTAATAAAAAAGGGGAGAAAAGGACGTGTGCGAAGAAACAAGCGAAATTTATGATTAGACATTTGTCATTACTCAGGATCAACTTCTCCACACTTTGAGACCCACTGGATGCTTTTTCCCACATTCAACTTCGCGAGTTAGTCTACTTATAGTACGTTCCTTTTCTTTAATGCAGTGGATAAACAGACCATGAAGTTGCAAACTGCTCTTCGTCTGAAGTTGGAGAATTTTCGTTATTGGTCATGGACCTTGGGGACATTTAACAGCCTGATTTTAAGAGTGGATTGGAAATAGCTTGAATTAACCTTGCCTGCGAAAGAAACACGACCTGATGGAATTACTAATCGTCAATAGGCCGGGCAAACAATGTTTGATTGGTTCATCTTGTCAAGTGACTTTTGGTTCAAGTTGGAAACCGATGGAGATCTCCTGAAAATGTCCCTGTGTTTTTATGTCTCAAGTAAGAGGATGTAAGTATATTTCATTGTGGAAAAAAAGTCTTTCAGCTGCCTTAGGACACGCAGGATATCACCTTGTTTTGATCTTTCGGGCTAATTTCACGATTCTATGACAAGTTTTCGGTCGCATCGGTAGCATTTTAGTATGATTTACAGTGCTACTTGCAGATTTGCTATTGCAGTTATAAGGGTACCAGATTCAGACTAGGGTACTGTAGTTGCCTAGTTAGAGAAGAACGCTTTTTCTTGTTTTTGAAGGGTCACATTGCTGGCTCCAAATCTATTAAAATTGACATAATCTTCGCGTTTTTCATTTATAAGATCAATTTTGCTTGTTACAGGAACACTTGTAAATGGCGTGAGATTAACATGCACATTCTCCATACTCATTCCTTTACCGTTCATCTGGCGCTAACGAGGAGAATTTGACTAGAAATCACAATGTTTTTCGCTGCTGAGCAGTTTCCTCTTTTTTCAGCAGTTTATGATTGATACTGTTCAGTGGTAGGATATATAGCAAGAATGTAAATTGATGTTGATCACTGTTCACCGTACAAAAAGTGTTTCTTGTGATCACCGACTGAAAGCAAACGCACCGACGGACATTTCAAGTATTTCAATATTATACAAAACTTCAGCTAAAATCAAAATTGCCCGTCGGAAAAAACGTCAAAGCGCTAAGTGCTTTTTTAAATGTAAAAGCGGTCAGAAAGATACAAGAATCGTGATTAAAAGGAAGCTTTTGCAAAGCCGAGAAGGTTACAGTTTCCATTATGTTTGGTTAACTTTGGTTTGTTTTGGTTCTTGGACCTGTGGGACCTCAGGGACCTCTGGGCCGAAGGTTCATGATGTCATTATTTTCAACAGCCAATCAGGGGCAAGAATTTGATTTGCATATGAATAACATACAAAAAAACCATTGAATTTGTAACCGAGCCGGGATAGCGCAATTAGCATAAGCATTGAATCGGTAATGAATTGGCAAACAAAGAGGTGACGGGTTCGAATCCCGCCTGATTAGCATGAAAAAGGAAAAAAAAGAAAAAAATCGCGGCTTGGATCTGGGAGGGCTTGGGGCGAGGAGAGGGAAGAAAAAAGGCCTTGGGAAGGGTACGGGAAGCGGGAGTTGGTACACCGGCCGGGGGCGGACCGGGGAGAGGGCAGGGAGAGGGGGGCAGGCGGGAGGAGGGTAAGTAGATAGCCAGAGGGGTATATAGATAGATAGATAGATAGATAGATAGATAGATAGATAGATAGATAGATAGATAGATAGATAGGGGGGTAGGTAGATAGGTAGATAGGTAGAGGGCGGAGGGATGGGAGGGGGAAGGGAAGGGAAGGGAGGGGGAAAGGGAGGGGCGGTCTAGCCTGCGAGCAAGGTCTCTTGCTGCCGGGATTGGGGGGAGGGTTGGGTGGGGTGGGGCAGTGAGGGACCTTGCTCGCAGGCTAGACCCGGGGAGGGTTTTGCTGCTCAGCACAGTTTTTTTTCTTCTTACTTTTATAAAATTCTTGACTCAAAATAAGGACATTTGGAAAAGAATGCATTCACGTAAAAAAAAAAAGGGGAAAAAGGGACGTGTGCGAAGAAACAAGCGAAATTTATGATTAGACATTTGTCATTACTCAGGATCAACTTCTCCACACTTTGAGACCCACTGGACGCTTTTTCCCACATTCAACTTCGCGAGTTAGTCTACTTATAGTACGTTCCTTTTCTTTAATGTAGTGGATAAACAGACCATGAAGTTGCAAACTACTCTTCGTCTGAAGTTGGAGAATTTTCGTTATTGGTCATCGACCTTGGGGACATTTAACAGCCTGATTTTAAGAGTGGATTGGAAATAGCTTGAATTAACCTTGCCTGCGAAAGAAACACGACCTGATGGAATTACTAATCGTCAATAGGCCGGGCAAACAATGTTTGTTTGGTTCATCTTGTCAAGTGACTTTTGGTTCAAGTTGGAAACTGATGGAGATCTCCTGCAAATGTCCCTGTGTTTTTTTTTTATGTCTCAAGTAAGAGGATGTAAGTATATTTCATTGTGGAAAAAAAGTCTTTCAGCTGCCTTAGGACACGCAGGATATCACCTTGTTTTGATCTTTCAGGCTGATTTCACGATTCTATGACAAGTTTTCAGTCGCATCGGTAGCATTTTAGTATGATTTACAGTGCTACTTGCAGATTTGCTATTGCAGTTATAAGGGTACCAGATTCAGACTAGGGTACTGTAGTTGCCTAGTTAGAGAAGAACGCTTTTTCTTGTTTTTGAAGGGTCACATTGCTGGCTCCAAATCTATTAAAATTGACATAATCTTCGCGTTTTTCATTTATAAGATCAATTTTGCTTGTTACAGGAACACTTGTAAATGGCGTGAGATTAACATGCACATTCTCCATACTCATTCCTTTACCGTTCATCTGGCGCTAACGAGGAGAATTTGACTAGAAATCACAATGTTTTTCGCTGCTGAGCAGTTTCCTCTTTTTTCAGCAGTTTATGATTGATACTGTTCAGTGGTAGGATATATAGCGAGAATGTAAATTGATGTTGATCACTGTTCACCGTACAAAAAGTGTTTCTTGTGATCACCGACTGAAAGCAAACGCACCGACGGACATTTCAAGTATTTCAATATTATACAAAACTTCAGCTAAAATCAAAATTGCCCGTCGGAAAAAACGTCAAAGCGCTAAGTGCTTTTTTAAATGTAAAAGCGGTCAGAAAGATACAAGAATCGTGATTAAAAGGAAGCTTTTGCAAAGCCGAGAAGGTTACAGTTTCCATTATGTTTGGTTAACTTTGGTTTGTTTTGGTTCTTGGACCTGTGGGACCTCAGGGACCTCTGGGCCGAAGGTTCATGATGTCATTATTTTCAACAGCCAATCAGGGGCAAGAATTTGATTTGCATATGAATAACATACAAAAAAACCATTGAATTTGTAACCGAGCCGGGATAGCGCAATTAGCATAAGCATTGAATCGGTAATGAATTGGAAAACAAAGAGGTGACGGGTTCGAATCCCGCCTGATTAGCATGAAAAAGGAAAAAAAAGAAAAAAATCGCGGCTTGGATCTGGGAGGGCTTGGGGCGAGGAGAGGGAAGAAAAAAGGCCTTGGGAAGGGTACGGGAAGCGGGAGTTGGTACACCGGCCCGGGGGCGGGCCGGGGAGAGGGCAGGGAGAGGGGGGCAGGCGGGAGGGGGGTAAGTAGATAGCTAGAGGGGTAGGTAGATAGATAGATAGATAGATAGATAGATAAATAGATAGATAGGTAGAGGGGGGTAGGTAGATAGGTAGATAGGTAGAGGGCGGTGGGATGGGAGGGGGAAGGGAAGGGAAGGGAAGGGAAGGGAGGGGGAAAGGGAGGGGCGGTCTAGCCTGCGAGCAAGGTCTCTTGCTGCCGGGATTGGGGGGGGGGTGGGGTGGGGTGGGGCAGTGAGAGACCTTGCTCGCAGGCTAGACCCGGGGAGGGTTTTGCTGCTCAGCACAGTTTTTTTTCTTCTTACTTTTATAAAATTCTTGACTCAAAATAAGGACATTTGGAAAAGAATGCATTCACGTAAAAAAAAAAGGGGGAAAAAGAACGTGTGCGAAGAAACAAGCGAAATTTATGATTAGACATTTGTCATTACTCAGGATCAACTTCTCCACACTTTGAGACCCACTGGACGCTTTTTCCCACATTCAACTTCGCGAGTTAGTCTACTTATAGTACGTTCCTTTTCTTTAATGCAGTGGATAAACAGACCATGAAGTTGCAAACTGCTCTTCGTCTGAAGTTGGAGAATTTTCGTTATTGGTCATGGACCTTGGGGACATTTAACAGCCTGATTTTAAGAGTGGATTGGAAATAGCTTGAATTAACCTTGCCTCCGAAAGAAACACGACCTGATGGAATTACTAATCGTCAATAGGCCGGGCAAACAATGTTTGATTGGTTCATCTTGTCAAGTGACTTTTGGTTCAAGTTGGAAACTGATGGAGATCTCCTGGAAATGTCCCTGTGTTTTTTTTTTTATGTCTCAAGTAAGAGGATGTAAGTATATTTCATTGTGGAAAAAAAGTCTTTCAGCTGCCTTAGGACACGCAGGATATCACCTTGTTTTGATCTTTCGCCCCGCGGTCGATTTCGCAAGCCGAAAACAGGGTTGAAATTCATCATGATTCGCTCGACTTGCATTTCAAAACAACCGCGCTAGAAAAAAAGCTTGTTGCTAAAATTGTAAGTATAACTAGTCATTGACCAAAATATATAATATTTTTAGCATTGCAACAGTCTCAGTAGTTAAAAAAAAGCTAAAGCGTATGTCTACCTGTTGTTCAACCACGGAAGGTAGTTGAAAAAAGCGACGATTTTCGTCATGTGCCTTTGATTAGAATTTTTCAAGATTGAAGGGGAAAAAACTACAAGCATCAAACTATTATGTTATGTTAAAATTATTTTGGGGAAATCATTTTGAGCTTCTCAGAAATAATTTGAAATTCGTGTTACAGACAACATAAAATAACGGCATCCAACACACGAGTCACACAACAACCACCAACAATTTGACTTTACGTTTCCTTTTACAACGGTGGTAGCCTTGATATATAGAACAACTTTTTAAAAAAGCTCACCTTAACCTGTATCCGTTGTACTTCAAGCTCCAAGTTGTTTCATTTTGCCGCCTTATCACCTATCTTACCGTAGTCGTGAAGTCCGCTGGAATGTGTGCATTGGAGGTGCGTGACAGCTTTCTGGTAATTTCTTCATCCCTCTGTTTTCTCTAATGTTTTCAAGTTAACATCTCATGTTTGTTAAAAATTTTGAGAACCCTGGACCTTAAAAAAGCCGTCTATAAAACAAAGCTCGGTAGTTTAACTGTCAACAAAGCGAAGTTGCTTGCTCGTGGATCCGTTCACTTCAGGCGGTGTGCGCACTACTATCGCTAAGCATCATGGGCGGTATTCAAAATCTGATCATTTGTGTCAAGATGGCGTGGAGTGAACATCTCGACTGCGGAGTGAATATTCGTTAATTACGCTGTAGATATATACGATTTTGCTTTGAATGTCCTCCGGAAGCCCTTGAAAAAGAAAGTCTGTCCAATTCGCAGGGAAAAAACAGTCTCATTCCGTTGATAAGTGTAGAGAGGGAGCAGGGTTGGTGTAGTGGTGAGAGCGCTCGCCTTCCACCAATGTGTCCCGGGTTCGATTCCCGGACCCGGCGTCATATGTGGGCTGAGTTTGTTGGTTCTCTACTCTGCTCCGAGAGGTTTTTCTCCGGGAACTCCGGTTTTCCCCTCTCCTCAAAAACCAACATTTGATTTGATTTGATTTGATTTATTTGATTTACAGTCTCCCCAATTAGTACAGCACTCGTGCTCGGCTAGAATGATTTGAGACTCAAATAAAGTTATTATTATTATTATTATTATTATTCTGGTGTATTTTGTTCGTAATCACTTGCATCTTGTTTGCAACTGACCGAGAAAAGTCGGCACAGAAACGCTTTGTTCAATACTTCAATCATTAAAAGCACTGGAGGTAAGACCCGCGGTTCGCCGAAAATTTTTGAATTCACCGTGAAATCAGTGCAACTAGTGCTAAGAGGTACTGATGTGCATAGCTATGATATACTCATAAAATACTAGGAGCTTCTTCAGAATACCCGGCAACGGTATTTAAACACAGTGAGCTTTGTTTTGTCATTCAGCATTGCAAGATGTTCACTTGCTAGCTGTAATAAGAGAATCGAAGTTGAGGGGGTCATCGTTTCGAGGACTTGTTTCTCTGTTGGCATCAAGTCTGCATTTCGTTTTGCTTAACATCTGCATTTATCATTACATGAAGACAAGTAAATAAAGGAGAGAGTATTTGTGTACAGTGAACTTGTGTCCTCTTTTTGATAATATAATATTGAGCATCTTTATTTGCCATATTTTTCTATTGGTATGAGTCATAAAATGTCTTATAACTGGATTGAAACTGAAAATGGCATATTTGTGATTACAAAGCCTGATGCAGTCAATAGATTTTAAAAGCTGCAGCCAATATTAGTTTAATGATTGTGTCAGTATGTACAAACACATGTTATCACATATTTTTTTGGATTATAAAAACTCTTCAAAATGTGAAATTCGTACATGTTTACAAATCTCCTGTAATCAGGGCTGGGGCAACATAGCTTGAGACCCCTTTCCTTTCTCCTCACCCCAGTTTTATAATTTAAATATGGTGTCATAGGTCTCATCATACTCACAGTCAACTCTGTTATACAGACACTGAGGGGACTGTAGAAATTAACCATCTTAATTTAGAGAAAATTTAAGGGCTTTTTTCCAGGGAACAAAGCAAGCTATCTGTAATGATGAGCAAGGCTGTGTTCTAAGGAACATTGAAAGGAGCCTAGTTCTCTGAACCTGTAAAATCTAGGCTGTCCAGCATATGATTTGTATGAAAAGTCTGAGATTTTCTAGTCACCCAAAAGCAAAAGTTAGGTGCCAGGGGCCACAGGGCTCTGCTAGAGCACAGCCTTGATCAGGTGTCTGTATGAAGCGGTTGTCCGTAAAGAGGCCTAGGGCTTTTAGGTTACCAGTTATTGCAGAGGTGGATCCTAGTGGTACAGTAAAACCCCCTGACTTAGAACCTGAATTTCAAGAACCTGTTCAGCTAAAATAAAATTATGCCAGATGAGCCCCCTCTATATAAAAACCTGTTTAGCCTAAAATTTGAAACAGGTGACCGTTCTTATTTTTGAAATCTATGAAAAAATTCTGTACACTTAAGCAGAGATAAATCAACATTTAGAATCTTCTTTGGAGACAAAGCTGTCTTATCACTCCAACTGCAATGTAAATGCCAATGTTTAAATTTAAATACATTCCTCTTTTTATGTCCATTCTCACATAACTTCTAATTTGATATGCAGACTTTATATGAGGAATAAGGTGAAACACAAAATTTGTGTTTCACCTTATTCACCTTATTCCTCATATAATACTCTTAGCTACATTTTTACTTCGGAAATTTTAAAAACCTAAATAGCCTAAACTTGTGCTAACTACTATTTATATAAGAATCTGTTTAGGCTTACTTAGTTAATTCAGGTTCTTAGTCTCATGATTTTACTGCCCCATTGTTCCACTTTTTCTATTTCCTTTCCCTGTCACCATTTTTTCAGCCTTGGTTTTCCAATATCAAAAGCACACTCAATGATCAAGCAATTTATATTTTAACTAAAGCCACCAAAATATGCAAATTGTTTGATATATACTAAACAGTGTAAATGGGTAAACAGATTGAATGACATCACTTAGCCTGTGTGGCAGGCATTTCAAAGAAAAGGGAAAGTGGGTCTTGGTGCAAGAGAAATGTGAGGGAAGGAGGGAGGGAAATGCCTGCCATACAGGAGACTAATTGTTTTTTGCATAATCAACATCAACCAGGTGAATGTTGAAATCACTCCCTCCTTCCTCGTGCACTCTTCGCATTTCTCTTGCGCCCAAAACCCCTCTCCCTTTCCTTTTAAATGCCTGCTATGGAGGCTAATCACCACTGAATAAAACAGGGACTAAGGCAAGAAACTGACAAAGTCATAACATCCACACAACAACACACACCAATCTTGGAAGTAGATTGTTGGTTTCAAAATGCACAGGGCTTCACTGTATAATCAAACTTATCTTTTAATTAAATACCTGTAACTCGAATCCTACTGATTTTATACCTGCATAAAGAGAGTCACATGTATGACTGCAATTTTATTATGCTTTTTTAGTCCTACTACAAAAACAGACATTCCTACATCAGAGTACTCATCAGCCTATTTATATACCAGTTTCGAACATTTTATGCTCACCTAATGCTATTATTTGGAGGAACCAGTCGCTGCTGCCCCGCTATTTTGTGATCAGCTTGTGATTACAACAGTAACACTTCCAGTAACATGTCACATTGGTCTTCGCGAGGCTACATTTTCCCATGAAAACATGCCGGTTTCAATTCGGAAAAAGTATCACAAAACGTGGGGCGCGTTGGGGAGCGATAAAAAATTAGCGTAGAACAAGGTTTGTAGAAACACTTACAACTGTCTTCTACTTTCGACGGGCAATATAATGGAAATTATACCCTCTTAAAAACCGGGTTCAAATTTCATGCTCTTAGAGGAGGAATCTTCGGGCTCCACGTTTTAGATTGAAATGAAAAATATTGATTTGTTTTTCTTCACAGAAAAAATCTAAACAAATATTAGCTTGTGAAATCGGGAAAAACTATCTAAGGAAAGAACTGTATCTGTTGAAAAATAAAGCATATAACCTGCGAAATTTCTCGACCTTCGCCGCCATCTTGAAAATTTTGAATCCACAATGCATCGCAGTCGGCGTTTTTCAATTTACTGTAGCAGGAGTTTTGTGGTCGATGGATTGTTTACAACTCCCGTGTATTCGCGTAGAAGAAGCCGTTTCGTGAACTCAGCGTTTTCTAAGAAGAAAATTTTGGCTCAAAAATCGAAGTTTATTTATGACAAACAAATTTAAAAGGAAATGTTTGCAGAAATTCTACATTTCAAGTAAACAGGAAAAAGAATGATACAGGAAGACGACCTCTTACCTCGAGCAACCGAGCCGCCATTTTTGTCAGCACTTCATGCGAAGAACGACACAACATGCCCTTTTGGCTATAAACTTGGCGAGTCAACAGAAAACAACACAGCTCTACTTTTTTTTTCTCAGGTAAGGAAACAGTTCAAACTTTTAGCGATTCCATTGAAGCCATTACGCTGTTGTTTGCGAAATGAGTAAACTTGTGAATTGCCATGTTTGAAAATTCTGCAAAGATCTATTTTTAAACTTACGCGTGATTTGATCTGTCAATCAAATCCTACTTTTGAATGGTTTCCTTTCTGATTTTGTTGAGATCACTTCGTGTGTATATACTAAAACAATTATTCTTCTCAATCTCGGTGAATAGTGGCTTTGGGAATATTTACCTCGCCGCTTTCGCGGCTCGGTAAATATTTTGCCACTATTCACCTCGATTTCAAAGAATAATTGTTAATTAGTATATACACACTCAGTGATCTTGGTGATTTAAGCAATCTGATTGGTTCGCTATCTCGGACTATTTAACAATTATTCCACGAGGGCGCGTTGGATATAAGATGATAGATAGCCAACGAGGCGCATAGCGCCGAGTTGGCTATAATCATGTCATATCCAACAAGCCCGAGTGGAATAATTGTTTTATTAAAAACGCCCACAAAATCTCGTTGAATCGCCCCGACTTGAACAAACCGGAAAAGACAAGGGACTTCCGCTATTGACATGTCACACGTCTATCAAAACTGTCAACGCGCGAACGGACTCGCCTGGACTGCATGAATGAAAAATCAAAACATTGTGAGATGAACATTAGTTTTTTAAAAACTCATCGTGATTCTAGGATTTTACACAGCAGAACAGCTTAAAAAACCTGGCAGATAATGTGAAGGAAAGGAATTTTTAAGTGACAGCCGTCGAAATTACTATGAATTTGGATTTTCGATGCAGTTATAAAAGTAAGAACAACGGAGAAAAACTACCGGTATTACCTCGGTCGCTTGTTATGAAGTTGTTTGAAGCCACAAGCTGGTTTTGCTGAACGAGAAAAGAAGCTATACTGCCGCCTCGATTGCTCTAGTGAATGGCTGCATAGCCTGTATTTGTAGCTGGTTACTTGTGATTTATATTCTTGATGTCGGATAAACAAGCTGCAGTTATCTATCGGCGAGTGACTCGATCGGCGAATGGCTTCGGGATCATGAAGAAACAACACTTGTCTTCTTTCGTAGCTGGTCAAGGTACCTTAGTTCCATGTGTTTTCATGTGTTTTTCGACAAACTTTCAAACAAGCTCTTGTGGCTTTTTTGTTTGTTTTTGTCTTTTTTCTTTCGTTGAAATTGCATTTCTAGTATTCTAAGAAATGAATTACAACGATTTGCTTCGGGCGCCGTTCTATCCTTCGCGAAAAAAAATCTCATCTCAGCTAGCTTCCAATTTTAAACTGACGCGTACACCGACCATATATGGAGAACATGGTATATTAGCTCATATCCCATAACGGCTAAGCCAATCAAAATGCTAGAATTGCATTATCCAATGATTCAGTTTTTAATAATCACCTACTAGCGAGTGGATACTGTGTGAGCTCGGTGTTTTTCCCGTTTTTTTTAGAGAACGATCTTTTAAAAGTCGACAAAATCCTAGGGCTGACTTTTTTTAAGGCAAGAAAAGACTTGGAAGGATTCAATACGGCGTTTTTCAATTTACTGTAGCAGGAGTTTTGTGGTCGATGGATTGTTTACAACTCCCGTGTATTCGCGTAGAAGAAGCCGTTTCGTGAACTCAGCGTTTTCTAAGAAGAAAATTTTGGCTCAAAAATCGAAGTTTATTTATGACAAACAAATTTAAAAGGAAATGTTTGCAGAAATTCTACATTTCAAGTAAACAGGAAAAAGAATGATACAGGAAGACGACCTCTTACCTCGAGCAACCGAGCCGCCATTTTTGTCAGCACTTCATGCGAAGAACGACACAACATGCCCTTTTGGCTATAAACTTGGCGAGTCAACAGAAAACAACACAGCTCCACTTTTTTTCTCAGGTAAGGAAACAGTTCAAACTTTTAGCGATTCCATTGAAGCCATTACGCTGTTGTTTGCGAAATGAGTAAACTTGTGAATTGCCATGTTTGAAAATTCTGCAAAGATCTATTTTTAAACTTACGCGTGATTTGATCTGTCAATCAAATCCTACTTTTGAATGGTTTCCTTTCTGATTTTGTTGAGATCACTTCGTGTGTATATACTAAAACAATTATTCTTCTCAATCTCGGTGAATAGTGGCTTTGGGAATATTTACCTCGCCGCTTTCGCGGCTCGGTAAATATTTTGCCACTATTCACCTCGATTTCAAAGAGTAATTGTTAAATATATATATCTAGCCGAATTTTTGAAAACCTACCTGAAAATGCACCAGAATATTCGCACAGAAAGCTGGCCATAGCCAGCTTTCTGGTCACTGCGCTGAGAGAAAACATAGGGGGCTTGCTGTCCTGCTTGGTCTCATTGTCAAGTTCAGTCCCTGAGCTAACTCGCCATGGGTTGGAAAGGGGCCTCCACGTCAATCCCTAGCGGGGGGAGACTGCTGCAAAAGCGTTGTACCTTCCGTTAGTCCTGGTCTGGGAGAGTCAGTGCACTGGTCACGTCTGCCTTTAGTTTGTCATGTGAAATTCTTGTGACGTTTGAGGCCCATTGGCCAATGAAAGCATTCCCCTCAAGCACGTGCTAGGCTGGGGGGGGTGGAGGAAGTCAGGTGGGGTGACTTAACCTTGAATTCTCTGCTTAGAACTTGCTGAAGTCTCAAGCGTCCTCCGTCATTCAGGGCCTTTAAGCAGCTAGAGTGTATGGACAAGTCCAGAGTGTCTTTTTGATGGACTTGAATGTTTCTTTTGCTAATCAGGAACCAAGAAGAGAGTCACCTTAAGAGAACCACGGGTAAGAGCTGAGTTTCTTGGCGATATTTACTTTAGTTGAGTCAGTTTAAGGTGTGTGGGCTCCTGGTGTCCGATGTTACGGTTTTCATAAATCCGGCTAGATATATATATATATATATATTAATAATCACTGGAGTTCAGGCTTCAGGAGTAATCATTGATCGTTTATTGCGACAGTGCTGTTTCGTATGGTCCGAAATTGTAGGACCACACTCATCAGGCAACTTCAACGATTGACCGTTAAAATTAAAATTAAAAGCTGGCAGTAAATATAGGGATGCGTTAAGAGATAGTATCTAGGTAACAGATGGATTGTGTCTTAGTTACGTTACTCTAGAGTTCTGAAGTACATATCTGTTTCTGTGGGGGCATGAACTCGCTAGTTCGTTTCGCCTGTTTAGGCTACAAAGCTCTTTTTTACAAATGATGATAAACTTTTCATAAAGACAAAGATTACATTTTTTGCTAATGTTGCTATAGGCTTTACATTTCTTTACAACTTTCCATTTTATCTGGAAAGGTTTGTTAGAGTCTTGTAAAGTCCAAATATATTTTGATAGTTCCGTTTCATTTCTTCTGTTCGAGCGTCGAAAGGAGGACTGATGGTTTCTGTAACGTTCCTTAAAGTTTGTTGCCAGTCCGACGTAAGTTTCAGTTGTCGTCGCTGTAGTTACAGTGGCTTGGTAGATTACATTTGATTGGAGGCATTTTCCTTCGAGTGGACAATCTGGTTTCTTTCTGCAATTGCAGGTGTCAGGTTGTTGCGTTGGTGAGTTGAAATTTGAAAGAACGTACTTGTTGTGTGACGAGATGACAGATTTCATGTTAGGCATGCATGAGTAGCTTAGTTTTAGCGTGTGTCTGTTGAAAATCTTGTGTAGTGGGTGGTCTTTTGGGTCTAAGACCCTGTTTACATGGAGTGGCGGACCCCGGTCTAGTGGGGTAAGTTTCTTTTGTTTTGTGTCCCCCAGAGCGTGAAAACAAAAGAAACTTACCCCACTAAACCGGGGTCCCCCACTCCATGTAAACAGGCCCTAAGAAGGCACTCTGAAATACCGCACGTGCAGGCCAGGATTGCCCACGTGCAGCCAACAACTGGAAGTTCCATCTGTGAAGATGGGAAGAAAACATGTACACAATTTTTTGTTAAGACATCTGTTGATTTGATAATGCCCACGTCTCGAAGCAATGAAAATCTTCATTGCATGAGGCTACCAATTAAATTCTTCATTTTCACAAATTTTATATTATACCAGGTTGTACGTTTGCTTTTCGCCTGCTTTTAGCGGATCCAGACCCCGGGCACTGGGATCTTGACAGCTGTAATCTGATATTACTGTTGACAGTAATTTGCATACTGAGTCACAAAACGTTCGCATGGGCGCTTTATCCTTCAGATTGGCGCTTCCTTCTGCGGTGTCTAGCAGCATTTTGAGACAAAAGTTGTTGACAGATAAGGAAGTGAGGGTTTACTACGTGTTTACTAAGGGACGGACCATTAGAAAAGTTATGGGGGGGGGAGTTTTCGAAGGAATTTTTTTTGTTTCGTTATGAAAGGCCCTTGCATGAATATTTCTTAGGGTTTATTGCGTGAATTTTTTTTTCATTTATGAATTTTTTTTTTTGTCTCAAACAGTCCCTAAGTTTATGCGTGTTGGTTATAGTCTCAAACAGAGTTTAATATAGAATTTGAACAGATGGCAACGGGAAACATTTTACATTTTGCCGTAAAACTAGACCTGAAACAAAGAACAGGGTGAGTACTTTAACATTTAGAACTTTGTGCGTGTATATTACCAAGACTTTTTCCGAGAGACGTTTCATGACCTTTGCCTGGTCGACTGACGATGGTCACGCATATGTTAAAGATGGCGTTACTTTATGTTGTCTGTAAAACGATTTTCAAATAATTTCTGAGAAGCTCAGAATGATTTCCCCAAAATAATTTTTGCATAACATAATAGTTTGATGCCTGTAGTGTATTTGCCTGCAATCGGAAAAAATTCTGATCAAAGGCACATGATGAAAATCGTCGCTGTTTTCAACGCCCTTTCGTGGCTAACCATCAGGTAGTCGTACGCTTTAGCATTTTTATAATTACTTAGACTGTTGTAATGCTAAAAATATTATACATTTTGATCAACGACGAGTTAAACTTAAAATTTTAGCAATAAGTTTTTTTCCTAGCGCGGCTGTATTGGAACGCGAGCCCAGCGAATCATGATGAATTTCAACCCTGTTTTTGGCTTGCGAAATCGACGGTGGGGCTTGAAACGGTTTTTTTTGTTTTTCTCGGAAACGAACAGATCTTTCGAAGAAAAAACTACATAGCGTTTGTATACTTACTAATGTCTACCAGTCTGCAAAAGAAGAGCGATTTTGATTTTTTGAGCCTTGCCACGAATCGGCGATTTTGGTCGATTTTTGTATGGATTCGCTCTTAAGTTTAAAATTTAGTAGGAAGCACTCCCGGTGGTTGTCGTTTTTAAACTTGCTCCTTTTTTCTTCGTAAGCATTGTTTTATGTCATTGGCAAATAGCCTGGGACCTTAAAATAGAGCAATCGATACGTTTCGCTGGGCGAGGCTTGGTGTTAGAATCATAACTGTCATTATCTTCGAGAAGGTCTTCGATGAAAACACTTCGACGCTGCCCCTAAACACTCCTTATCATTGTATACTTCATAACATCGTCTGTGATATTTGCTCTTCGGCCCTTCCTCCAGAAACCCTTCGTCTCGGTCCACATAACATCTCTCTGTTCCTTGGCTCATGATTGAAATCTTAGCCAACTTTTTTATCTGAAAAGTCAGTTAACGTCCCTGGCTCATCTTGTACATGACAGAAACATTTACCCCAGTTTGGAAGTTGTCGGCGCTGTCGTTTTCTTAGATGGGATGATTGTACAGTACTGAACAGAAAATGTTGCTTTTCCTGCCATTGCCTGGCCTGTACATCAACCATGGCAAGAATGAGCATCATAAACAGTATATAGTAAAAGAGGCAATATTCTGCTTTTCAAATCTCTTCAGCAAAATAACACAAGTTTCATGCTGCTGTAACGTATGCGATTTTCTCTTTCAGAGCTCATTACGTATTCACTTTTAATAGTACTTGATCATTATGTGTTCGTTTTTTTTAACTTAGTTTGTTTAAAAACATGTTTATGTCAAATGGTCTATAAAGATCTTTAAAATAGGTCATTGTAAGACAAACTACTAATACTAGAAACCGATAAAAAGATAATATGAGGGTATCGGCGAAAAAATAGGCAATTTCTTACCTTCTGCTGATTCAACAAATTTTCAAGAAGGCGGACCCTGCCATGTGGTTGCTATACAAGATGGGCTTGAAGGGACAAGGGTCGAAATTCATTGTTATCCTTGGCAGCGTGGCGCTGTTGTCCTGGAGCCGACCTACCGTGCAGATGGTCCAGGTTCGACACTCGGCTTAGTTGTTTTATTTTCTCTGTTGTATATATTTCTTCGTTTCCTTTTCCTTTTTTATGCGATAAACGTATTTGTAATAATGTTGTTGTAACATTGGCTCATTCTTCCACGGCTGTGCATGCATTGTGTATCGAGATATTATATTAAGCACTTGGAAAGTTAAAAAATGTTATTATTCATTCAAAATATTTTCCCAATTCTGATTGGCTAAAAGCACACGCATAATTCACCAAAACCAGTGACTGATGACCAAATTTGGAAGAATAATGTGTTTAACGGTTTTCGGGGTACATATGACAGATGTTGGGCGTGCGGGATTGTCTTGACAAAGGAGCGAGAGTGCGGGATCTGGACCCACCCTTCCAGATCCCGTTCCATTGAGATGCAAAAGATAGAAGATTAACAAAAGGGGTACAACATGGGGTTCCACGTAAAAATTTTATATTATGCAGGTTTGGCTATACACAGAAAATGAGCTAAAATATTTTTGTAGACTTTAAAAAAAATACCTGCTTCATCCAGACTGTTCCTACCACGGGAGTTTCAGTACCAGGAGGAGGTTTGGTGTTAGGCATTATTGCACTCACTGCAGTCGCCATGACTACATCTTAACAAACAACACGTATCAAGACAAGCAGAGAATCAAATTCGAAAACAATCAGTCTTACAGTTGGGAAGGCTCGTGTTCCCATTGTTTCCGCCGTTAGAAATTAGGAACTTGGATTGACACTACTCTCAGCCTACAGGTTCACATGAATAATACATGTAAAGCCGCTTCTCTTAATACCATCTTATAAATGTCAGGGGTATAAGAAAGTACTTAATTAAGCAACACAAACATTAGTTCATACACTAATAATATGATGTATCGATTATTGTAACAGCCGTCTATACATATACTTGGTCAACCGATTTGTGGATTACAAGTTTATTGTTTGATTTAAATTATAAATTTATAAACTAGAGCTACGCTTTTAGCCGTGGCTAAATCTACATATATATGCTTCTGGTACAGACTGTTCGGTGTGGTTTCGGCATCAACACCTAGGACAAAAGGCTTTTGTTTTGAGGAATTTGCTGCGGTACAATAGACAATTTCTTGATACGAACAAAGCATAAATTTAAATGTGAGCAGACCAGGAAAGGAGTGATCAATCTTCAAAATAGTTTTTCTTTAACGACTTAACGCGTTTGGTAAAAAAAGTTGACCAGGAAATTAGGAATTGTGTATTCATTTTCCGCATACCCATGTAGCCGCTGCATTTTAATTGTTTTTAGGCTTGACAAAGATAGAAAATTCCACAGAGCAAATGCAGTGGCTCTATGCATATGCTGCAACCAAATCCATGCAAAATGACTTACGGCTTGTTTATATGGAGGTGGGGGACCCCAGATAGGTGAGGTAACATGCGGCGGGTTACCCTGCACCTATCATGTAAACGTAATCAAAATAAAATGAGAGATCATGTGGAGAGGCGGGTTACCCACCATGCAAAGCGGGTTACCTCACTTACCTGGGGTCCCCCCGCGCCATGTAAACAGGCCCTTATTTTACAACAGTAAAAAAATGTATTAATTGTAGCTGAGTTACCTCTTTTACGCCACATTGTCTCCTCGTAACGAGCTGCTGTTACCGTTAGCGAAGCACACAGCAACAGCAATTGCATATTGTATCTAAAACATGATAAAGTTTGATCATAAGCTGTGAAAACCAGTATCTCTGTTTTTTGACACTTCTTTTTAAAACAGACATTCAGAGGGAACAGCTTATAGTCAACACTATTGGATGTGTCAAGTAGTTTGCTTAGCAGGCTCAGTAGGTCGAAGAGTGTCAGATGCCAATTGCAGGATACGCCACCTTTGCAAATAAAAATACACTAAAAAAAGAATATTGTCACAGCCCGCCCAGATTTTATGCGAGTCGAGGGAATTAATTTGGAAGTCTATATTTTGAAATAATTTATTTTTGGAGTACTTTATATCCTGAAATATTGTGTCATTTGTTTTGCTTGTAGCTGAATTCTAGAGCCATTTCAAAAACGCTCTGGCAAAATTAGAGTCGGTTATTCGGTCACACGTTATGTTAACCAAGAAAACAATGAAGTTTACTATGACTTGCAACTTCGTTCACTTGTTCTAATGAGAAGCGACCACTCTATCCCTTTCTAGACAAAAGTTTGGAGGCATTAGAGCTCTTTCTTCCTTGTTCATTCGCAAACGCTTGAGTTGCAAGATCACGATCAATATATTAAAGGCCGGTTTGCACAACACTTTATGACGCCTTTCCTTGAATGCTGAATACAACTTTAAAGTAAATATTAAATCGTTTAAAAAAGGCACCAACAGACCGTGAAATGCATCAAACGAAGAAATACTCACTTCAAAACAGCAGAAGCTCAAGAAACGAATGTCTGTTTCTTGACCAGAGTGGGAAATCAGACATATAGTTTGCACGCGTGGCTGAATTATTCACACGCATGAAACAATACAAAATGACCAGTAAACAGAGACACAATGCCATGCCACAAGCAAGGTAATCCCAAAAAATTTCCATAACAATAGGAATTAGGTTCGCAATGTGCCTACATAATTGACGAAACAGTTTACTTCCCAGACGTATTGGACATTTTTAGGCTGGGTCGGTGTACGTAGTGACGAATTGCAGTATGGGCCGGACTGTTTTGGCGAAACGCCGCCGCTTCTTTCATTGGCTATTACGAGCTAATGATATTTAGATTTAGCCAGGGCTAAAAGCGTAGCTGTAGTTAATAAATTTATAATTTAAATCAAACTGGGGAGATCGATATGACGTTTAAGGGTGGGGTTGGTTGACTTAAGAGAAAAAATAATTTGCAAACAGCGCAAGAATGAAGCAACTTCTAAAATCTCACATCGGGTCAATAGTTTTATTTGTACACCTAATAAAAAGAGATCACCTTTGGCCACAGTAGATAAGGTGTGGAAACAAATTCTTCCCAAGCAAAATCACTTGTTTTATTCTATAATTTTATGCTATAAAGGCCGTAAAAACACGATAGTCTCCGGTGGTAGCCAATTTACCCGTTATAATTTATCGGTGTTATCTCTCTGTGTAAAGGAAAGCCCAAAATAAAAATTAGGCCGGATTTTTCGTGTGCGTGGCTCGCTATAAGTCTGGTAGCGTGTAAACCAGCCTTTTTACACCATCTTTGAGGTAAACAGAACTATCAGGCGTTGTTTGTTTTCAGACCTCGGACAGAATATATGTTATTTTTTCCGGCCCTATTTTAATTATAATTCTGCAGTTTGTTAAAGAATAATCTTACAAGACAAATTGCACCCATTCAATATTCAGGACGATCTATATAGAGAATTCACCATTAGACGGGACTGTTTAGTCAGGTCAGTCTGCCATCAAGTACGCAGGGTAATAATGGGCTTTGAGCAAAACTTTCGAAAAAAATATATTTTTTAATTCAATTTACAAAATCGCCCGTCTGACCCACCAATTCTAAATTTTGCCAAGCGCCAAAACTTACAATGCGAACTGTCGAGTATGTGAATGAACGCTGGTAATGAGGAAGAGGTCTCAGAATCATTTTCGTTTGCCTTTTACTTCTAAAACACCATATTCATCTGATACACGCGGCATTTTAAGTACTCCTGCATGCAATGTTTTCACGGACGACTGAAAATAACAACAAGCAAAGGGATAAGAAAGATCAGATCGATCTCTTGACAAACAATCATGACAAGAATACAATTCAACGAAACATTTAAAGGACTACAATTTTTTATTTACGAAGACGTGTATTGAGGGTGAAGTGTCTCTGAATATCCTGAGTCACGAATAAAACCGTGCAGATATCATAGCCTTAAGTAACTGTTTATCTCATAATAATGCTCATAGCTTCCGCCAATACCTCCGCCGTTAAAGAAACTTAAGCGAAATCTGCGTTAGCTAATTTTACTCGTGACTCCAACGAGTAACCTAAGAAATGAAACCAGATACTACGAGTAGGGTTCATTGATCGTGTCCTGGCGGGCGGCGACAATTAATGTACAAGATTAGAAGACCTCCTGGTCAGAATCTTTGCTGAGGCCTAAGCCGTCATACTCGACAAGTAGACCCCCGGGGGTACTCATTACATATATGTACGCGGAGGCTCCACCCCGAGGTCCAACCCCTTACCAGTTTTATATACCTTTTTTCATGGAAAAGGTACGCCTTTCGTATACCTTCTATGACAAATGGTACCCCTTTCACATACCTTGTTTAGAACTTTGCATCCCTTTTAACTGCTGTAAATGCACTGTCTTTTAAATAGGAATCAATCACAAAAATAGAACGTTTTCTCGACTTTTTAAAGCCAAAAAATTAATCTGACAGCAATTTGGGGACCTTTTACAGACCCAAATCATATGGCAACTTTTCTCCAATCAACTTCATTTTGAATGAATGAATGCAATGTAATGTCGTGGATGGTGAGGACAAAAGGCCTGTCCTCTTTACATTATATATAGCTCGGACGTCAGCAGCACAGCCGCTCTCAGTCCATTGTGTAACCCGTTCAGCAACATGATGCTTGAAAGGTAGACCACACCACCGGGGAAACGTCCCCGACCCATTTTGTTCAGTAGTGTGGGTTCTTAATTGTTTTCGTCTCCTTCGATTTGACCAATAAAAGAAGGATAAAGGAGACAAGACCGACGGCTGAACGTCACTGGCTAATAACGCGCGATCATCTCAACTAAGACAAGATCTTGAATCATAGCTAGCAAGATCTTACCAGTTTATTTATTTATTTTATTCATGACCCTAGTTTTTGGTCAGGCCGGGGTTTGAACTCGCGAGGCTCCCCGGGCGAGGCTCCCGGTCGGCAGACCGGTGCTCTCTAACTGAGCTAACCGGACGTACGTTGTCGGTAGAACTTGTTCTTGATTCTTAACATTTTGCTCCGGATATCTGGATGGTGCTTTAACACCACTACTCTATAAACATTCCATCACCTGGACTCAGTCGATTCATGCAATTCATTTATTTTTTTTCGATTCAGAAATTCGCTGAATTCATCAAAATAAGTAACAGCTGCTGTACGGCACTCCTCACATAAAATTGCTAATTGGCAATTTTATCTGAGGAGTGCCGTACATGCCGTACTGTACGAAACTAAGTAGTAATAAAAATGCCAAGTCAAATCTCACGTTGAGACCAGACATCCTTGATTTCCTCTATATTAGAAATATTTAGTTAAAATTACTTCTACAAAAATATTGGTAGTTTCACGTTAATTGTATTCATAAGAAATGTTTTGAGCTGATTTTATCTGCTGATTTTCCATTTTGAGAAATCTCACGTTTGCTGTTTGCCGTAAACGTGCATGACTCTAAATCTACGTGAAAGTGGAAATCCACCACCTTAACACTGACAACGGCTTCGCTGGACACCACCACTAAACACGCTGCAAACAGCTGGCCATTGGTATTTCTAAATAATTTCTTCGTACAGTGTTGCAATATTGAGCAAAACTGTAAAAGTGAAGTACAAATTACCAGTTTCCTAATTTACATCAGTTATGCTCTGTTTATCTTTAATGATGTTATTTTGGAACAAGTTAGCGCACTGTTATCTCAGTGCTTAATTATTCTGATTGGCTAATTCAAAGTTCCGTGGAAAATAACGCCGCAACCTAGCCGCGCTCCCGCGTTTCCTGTCTTTAAGCTCCCCGCCTTGGCTGCCCCTTCTCCTTGCCCAAGGTCGTCTATTTTTTGGTGAATCTACAAATTAAAAGACAGAAAGTCTAAAATTCTGTAACACAAGGCAAAGATAATAAACATTCTAAGTGCTGTTACATTCGGCACTCTGTAAAACGCGGATGCGGACGACGGGAAATAATAAATAAATATAAATAAATGTACGGTATACGATGAAAAATTAAGATGATTGAAGATAAATTGAGAAATTTAAAAATAATAAAAATAAATATATCAGTCGGCGACATGTCCTTCCAGTCTGTCTGTCTCTGTCTCCCACGAGTTCTGTCTGTAATCCGAAGATGTCTTCAATGTCTTCATTGTATTAATCAAGTTATGTAAATGTTTTACTTCTTAAGTTTTATTCATATTTATCTTATTTATATATCGTTCTTATTTATTTACCTTATAAATTCACTTATTCATTATTTATTCATTTATTATTATCCGCCGTCCACATCTTCATTTTGCAGAGTCCCGTTGCACTCTTTACTTTACCACAAATGCTCTTCCAATGACAGAATAAGGTCCAAAGAGGGAAACCACATTGTCCTCAACTTCGTCATCGATTCGACCATCTTCGTCTGTGTATAAGTTTCCTAAGTCACCAACATGGCTGCAAAAAAAGATGTCCTAAAAATTCCACTTTCTTTTATTTAGTTACGTACATACAAACAAGAGAAATGCTCCTTCTTCTGTTCCCTGAGTTAACACGCCCCAGTATTGTGTTTGCTCAGTTGGTACCTAGGCTAGGCATCATCTCACGATTGAAGGGAGAGAGACATAGCAAGGCGATGTCTACAAACAGCTATGTTTTTTTCGTTGAAATAATAGTGGTGAATTGTTTTTTTTTAATTGAACTTACAGTGGTGAATTTGAAGTATGTAAGGGCTTGCCTCAATGTGCATCGCGGAAACGTAGGACTTGCAGAACAAGCCAGGAAAGAAGTGATTGCCTTTCTAGATCCGAAGCATCTTTACCATCTTTATTCGCGCTTAACCTTGCGTATTCTCCGCTTTCTAAGCCATAAAGTACTGGGATTTAAAATATCCTACTGTTAATTTTTTATCTCATTAAAAATCCTTACCGTACTTGGTCAGTGAGCGAGCCGTGGGTGTGGTTAAACGGATTGTAATGACCTCCGGTACTCTGACATCCTGAAATGTATATGTATATATACAAATTATTATACTCAAATGTGACTACGGGATAATGCGTTTCTATTGTATGAAGAAATTATATTTTTACCCTTGCCTTCAGTTAAAGCATTTCGTCATTATTCCAGTTTTAATCTTTCGCACTGCCGCCTTGCGCAGTTTTAGAAAGAAATATTATATGCTAGCCGTAATTTGTTGGTTCAGAAATACCATATCTCACATGTTGATCAAGTTGCCTGGACACATTACCCAAAACATACATTTTAGAGAATCTCATTGTGTTTCGAGGTGGATCCCAACGGACCAGTCATTAAATCTGAGTGAGCGGCCAACGGTACACTCTTAGCCTTAGAGACTTTTGTCGGGAAACGTCTTTATTGTCAAATGTGATGTGACCTTGAAGTAACCAAGTAAAGTAAAGCGAAGTAAAGCAGGTTGTAATGTTGGGGCAGCAAAATTTAGCTGGAAATATCACTCAAGCCTACCATCAGTGACAGTGTCTCCAAACTCGTGGATGTGGAAACCGTGAGGCGTATTGGGCGGAAGGCCTGTTATCTGCAATAGCATAGAGGTAGGACGACCATAGTTCTGCAAAGGAAAGGAATTAATCTACAATGGTGATTATGACAACAGCACCGAAATGATAATGATCATGACGATGTTTTTGATTTTGATGAAAATAAACTGATAGACATGATAGTGATTATGTTGTTGATGTTGATGTTTACGCTATTGCTGCTGCTGTTGATGATTGTTGATGATAATGGTGATGATGTTTCTGTTGATTAGGATGTTGTTGTTGTTGTTGTTGTTGATGATGATGATGTAGAGGTTGACGTTGATGATAGTGATTACGTTGATGATGATAATGACGGTGATGATGATGAAAGTGGAAATGATCCTCGCAGTTAACAACCTAAGCGGTTGTTGACGATGATGTTGATGACGTTGATAACGATGATAATAATAATGATACTTGACCAAGTAGTATGCAATTCTTGTGTGGATTGCGTACGGTCTCCATATATTTTTTGTAAACAAAATGCACTTCATTTGTAGCGAATGCAGGTGAAAAATGATTAAAAGGACGCACGTTGAACTGATACAGACGGTGAAAGGCACTCGTTCCATCATGAGGAAAGGAAAAGGACAAGGAAAACGCAGGCTAAGAAGAAAAACTGAGTTTTCAACCTGAATCATCTTGATCGTGCCTTTAATCGGTGTCTCTGTCCCTGGGGGAGGTTTGGTGTTAGGCCTGATTAAACTGACTGCAATCACCGTCGCTCCATCTGAAGAGAAATGACAAGAGTAGCATCACGTCATCGAACAAATGCTAAGAAGCAGTGATAATAAAATGCCTTTAATAACCTAGGCCTCCATTAGCAGGACTGAAATAAACGTGGGATCAGAAATTTCGAAGAAAAATGAACAAAGTAGGGTAGAATATTATCATATATTATACATTAATTATTGTAAATACTCAGTTACGTTGAAGCTGTATTTAACCTAGAACGTCCTCCTTGAATAAACTCTTTGCTTGGTGGGATAAATTACGATTTTTTTTTTCTTGACTAGTGCCCAGTTTTTGAATATACCAGCAAACTTTAATTTGACAAGTGTCCTTATTTAAAACTTGACGTGCCTAATGTAAGTAAAAGATGCCAGTGCAATGAGAGTAGTTACCTCTATTGTAACAGATTTCCTGAGCCTCCGTTAAAGCCAACAAACCGCAGAAAACCCACAGCATCATCACGTTCATAGCCTTTAGGAAGCAATTTCGAAATGTTTTAACTTAAAACCCATCCCATTTATACACAGACATTCTTAGCTAAGACCAGTTTCAGACGTCAAAATTTCCATAAGCTCATCAACAATCTCGATTTGCCGAAAGGAAATCAAAATCCATTTTAAGATCGAAAATCCGTTTTTCAAAGGAAAGAATTCTTAGCTTAATTTGAAATGCTTCTCACATGGGAAGACGTTGAGCGTTCTGTAATGATAGCCGGCGTTCGGGTGATTCCTTGCCCATTTTAAAGTTTTTAACCGCCTCATTGGTAAGTCCTGCAGCTAGGGAGCTTCAGCAACAACGACAGCAGCGACAGCAAAAACGTCACTTAATCAAAGGCGCTTTTTGTGAGTGACTTCGTGTACGAATTGGACTACTGTAGAAAGGACAGTCCAATAGTCAACAACACCCCATAATGGCGGTGCATTGGTCCGACAGGGTAAGTGACAGTTTGTTAGTCGGGGCTGCATAGTAATTTCTACCAGTGAACAAAAATATCCAATGTAGGCTTTTGAAAGAAGAAACTATAACGTGACTAGTTTGATCTAACCGGAAATTCCAGAAAATATGTCGTTCTGCCCTTATAAAACGTGACAGGGTCAACTTTTGGCATTTTAAAATGCTGTTATATAGCAGTAATTTTGTAAAGAAGATTTAGTTTTGTTTCTGTCTGATGTTGCATTAAAAGCCACTCTGATTATCCAGGGCTGGGTTATTCCAAGCTGGGTTAAGATAACCCAGGGTTAGTGCGAACTTTGAACTCAGATATTAGAGCTTAAAATTCAAATTCAGTTTAATTCTTTTTGCCTACAATTTGATGATTGGATACTCTGAAAAGAATAGAGAAAATTATCCGAAAGAGTGCTTTTGATAACAAGAAAAAGAAAGCCGGGTTAAAATTTAACCCCGGGTTAGTGCTAACCGGCGTTCGAACAACTGGGCCCAGGTGAATAGCTTTCAGAAGTTTTCATTTGACGGGGCGATCCACAAATAACACTTCCTTTCTCCTAAGGAGTGACTTTTCACACGAAGGGAGAGAATTAGTGACATAACCATCAGAGAAAAATTTGCTGTCACCTTTTGTGAGAGAAAATACAAAAGAGGCGTGAAGCGCGTGCAAGGTTTGCATATTAAACCTATTGCTTTTTTGCCGTTCTCGTTGCCGTCGCCGTCGTCGTTGCTTAAACTCCCTATTGTTATCAAGTGAAACCGGTTCCTGAGGATGATTAGGAAAGAAACAGCTGTTCAATTCAATTTTAAGATATACATTTACTGAAACAATTGACCACAGAAACAGTACCATAACATACCATAATGCTCTTTGTTTGTCACCCCCAAAACTTTCCATAAGCATTTTCTTTAGTTTCTCTTGGTCTGAATGGCCCCAAGATAAACTGAAAATTATGGTATGTTATGGTATTTTCCGTAGTAGTCAATTGCGGTGACACACAAACCCTCATCCAAAATGTCACAGTAGATATTTGCTCAAATGCTAATATGCTGATTTAGTCAGGGCTGAAAGCAATGCCCAAGGAAGGGAAGGAGGGGGGGGGTACTCCGGATTTCAAGTGACAGGGATGTTCGAATGAGGGAAAAGCCAAAAAACAAAACCCCCCAAAATCGCTTGGGCTTCAAACAAAACCCCCAAAAAATCCCTGCACCAAAAGTTTTAGTTTCTAATACTCAAAAAATCCCTACTTAAATCTACAAGCTACCCAACAAATTACTGCCAAAATTTTCCTTCCCAAAAAAATCCCGAAATCGAACATTTCATACCTAAGAAAATCCTTCGATAATCCCTGTCTATTGAAATCCGGAGTGTGTTTGTAGTTGCGAAACATACGTAACCCTTGAAAGTAACCCTGAAATTCTTCTTTAAAGCACAATGAACATCAGGTAATTCAATATTCTCAAAAGCAGAAGCTGCTGAACCGAAACATGTTTGGAAACCATACACATCGAGCACTGCGATGTTCATTACGCGCGTGCTGAAGAGTAGAGATCATGATATGTCACGTATGCAGTGATAATATAACATGAAACGAGGTGCATCATGGGATACTATTCGAAATAACATGAAAATAACATGAAAAGAGGTGCATCATGGATATCTGAATGACTCAAAAATGTGTATTGTTACTAGAAACACTACTATACACCGTTGGTAATAACATGAACAAACTTCCAACAACATCCTCCTTTCTCATGCATTTTGTTGCTTTTCTTCTGATACTATTCGACCGTCGTCTAGGTTTTCATTATTTTTCTGTTAGGTATGGGGTTCCGCTCGTGCGCGCTCAGAGGCTCTTCTACAAATTTGACATAGTGTAATTTCAATTTAAAAGGCTTCTTTTCAAACCCAAATCTCCTATTTATTTCTTGAATTTATCTTATATGAAAACGTTAATTACTTATCGTTAATGAATGACTGGTTTATTTGAACTGTATATCAAAAGCCCTTTTAAAAGTTCTTTATGGTGGCTCACTGGAAGGACAGTGTTCCCATAGAACGATGATTCAATGTAAAATTTGTTGTTTTTTTCGTGTATTTATGAGAAGTTAGTCTCTTCTTTGTCTCGTCTGGAGGTTCGTGTTCATTACATTACGTGGAATCAAACCCGTGTACGTGACCATGCATCTGACCTGTGTATTGAATACCTTTCATGTGGTGTCAAATAATTCAAGGTCCATAATCTATATCTGATAAAACTGAAAAGTCATAAAACTGCCCTACACAGTGAGATACCGGTGTTGAGATGCTTTTTGTTTCCCCTGAGTGGGTCGCACTGGGTATGTTTTGTGTGGTAAAATGCTAAGTAAATATATACTGAGAGTCTACCAAAGAAAAGATACAGTTAACACGATCGTC